ACTCTAGCTATTCCAGGCTGGTCTGCTTGTCCTTTCTAGTGGGAATGTCCCACCTCAGAACGGTCTAGATGGGACTCAGGATTCCACCTAAGGTCCTATACTCTGCAAAGGCTTTGCAAGAGGCCTATTTCACTGGGTAAGTCCTAGAACCCCTTTTAGGTATTCCAATCAGTTATAGGCTGAAGATGGGCTTACAAGTTTTCTCTAATTATGTTTCCCAACATTCCTTTCTATCCCAATCAAGTGTCTATTTTACAATAGTAGGAAAGGGAAACCAATATTCATAAGACAGTCAAGCATTTTAGCATTATTTCCACTCTTCAAGCTATGCCTAGATCCCTGTATCCCAGAGCCCTGCTGTTCCAAGTTTGAGCATGCATCACTATTTACCTCTGTCCCACTTACATCATGCAAACCTGTCTCAGTGTTCCCCTGTCTATCTTGTTCTTCCACCACCTCCCCCTTCTTGTATTGCCCTCCCCAACACCCAAACTAAACCCCCTACCCCAACCCCACTCTTGTGGTTACCTTATATTCCATTAACTCTTCCTCCATTTAAAACAGTCTATTTTATCCTGTAATCTACCTGACCTTCTCACCACCTGGATCTCTGTTTCTGTGTGTTTACCTTCTTTCACATTGTAATTGTTTTGATCATAGGCTGACTTCCCAGATCTTCTGTTCTTATTGTTTTATTCTGTTCTTGACTCTTCATTTGTTGATTGGGTTCAGGGTGATGCTGCCACGTACATCATTCTCTGGTTGTTGTCTGTTCTTGTTGGTTCTCAGTCCACAGAACTTCCTTTAGGATGTTTTTCATAGCTTTGGCAAAGTCCCTTAGTTCCTGTTTTCCTGGAATGTTTTGTTTATACCATCATATTTGATTGACAGATTTTCTGGGTAGAGGATTATGGGTGGTAGTTTTTTTATTTCAGGGTTTTATATATGCCTCCCCAAGTGCCTTCTTGCCTGCATGGTTTCTGTTGAGACATCCAAGCTTAATCTGATTTGCTTGCCTTTGTATGTTACACTTCTCTTTTCCCTAGCTGCTTTCAGGATTCTGTCCTTATCTTTG